TGATCTGTGTTTTATATATATATATATATATATATTATTATCTTATAAATCTTCTAAATTTTCATTGAAAAACAAATATTAAAGAACTAATTTTTTTTAAAAAAAATGCATTAAGAAAATCAGAATGGAACTCAAAGCTCTTAAATCTTATTTTGTGATTAATATAATATCATTTTTTTATATATTACACTCATCTTAATTAAGACATTAAAAAAATTTCAGATTCACTCTATTCAAAATTTTAATTAGGATATGTTGACAGAATATTTGTCCCTTGGAAGTCTTATCTTCTCCTAAATTTCCATTTATTTTCCATCTTAATTAAGTCATGTTTAGGTTGACCTACCAATCAAAAATTGACTTGAAAATGACTCAAAGCAACTCGACAGCTCAGAATTGCCATGAGTTTGAAATCAACTTGAACTCAACCCAAATAACTATTATGCCTTCCATTAAATGGGCCATATATGTCGGGTTTGGAATAGCAGGTTAAAGACAGTGTTAAACTTTCTGATCTGTTAATACACGGGTCGAGTCCAAATCTAGCAATTTCAGATCTGGTCAAATTCAATCCCAACCCACAAACCAATTTGGCACCTGTGAATTTTTATACTAACAAATTAATACCACTCTTTGATTTTTCCAAACAAAGAAAAAATTATAATACCACAACAGGTACAGTTCCTGTCCCCATTCTCCTCACTTTCCCATCTGATTCCTCCATCCATCCTCATCCAAAAGCCACCTTAGATCCTCCTCAAACTCAAACAAAGCTGAAGGGATGAAGAAAGCCGAAACCGGAACAGAGAAGGAAGAACAAATGGCCATTCGTAGAGCAGTGAAGGGGCTCCACTTCGGCGGGTGGGCTCAGAAGGAGGAGGCTGCAGCTACCATAAGGGATTTGGCAAAGAGAGATTTGAGCAAAAAGAGAGCTTTGGCGGAGCTCGGCGTCGTTCCGCCGCTTGTCTCAATGCTCGTGGAGGCTGAGGAGGGCGGAGCTTGCCAGCGGCTGGCCTTGGAGGCTCTGGTGGAGCTTGCCAATGCCTCTTTCACGTATGTGTTCTGATTTTCTTCTAGCATTTTGTTTTATGTTTTGTTTGATGGGGAAGTAGGAGTTCTTGATTTGTAGGGGTGGCAGAGTAGTTGATTGGAGTGCTGATTAGTTAGTTAATTGTATAAGAGAGAGAGTTGAGAGTTGATGGCTGCTGGTATTCGAATTTAATGGAGGTAATCTTGGTGGATGTTAGTTTTGCACCCATTTAAATCTAGGTCTATTCATTAACCTTTTGGTATAGAAAAATATGATGTCAGTATACTTTGCTATTGGAAACATCTTTGGCTGGAAAATTTTGACTAGAATGAGATTTAGGATGTGTTTGAGACTTCAGTGCAGTGGTGGTACAGTTTCGTTTAATAAAATTGTATTTCATCTATTTTTTCAAAAACTGCAGTGAGAAGTTGTGTTTTACTATCCGACATGAGAAGCTGTGTTTTACAATCTGACATGGCTAAGTGCGGTAGCCGCCAGTATTCAAATTTAGTGGAGCTAATCCTGGTGGATATTATCTCTTACACCCATTTAATTCTAGGTGTACTCATGAACAATTTTATATAGAAAAGTGGGATGTCAGTATACATTATTGCTGTAAAATCTTAGGCTAGAAATTTTTTATTAGAATGAGATTTAAGGTGTGTTTGGAACTACAGTGCTCTGGTGGTACTATATAGAAAATCATGTTTTACAACCTGACCTGATCATGTGAGGGGGCTGCAAAAAAGCTACAATAAGACATATTGAAAAAAAAAATTTATAATAGTCAACGCAGTTTTTTGAACACCAAATTCTTCTGCAGCAACTGTTTTTTCAAACAGCTACAACTGACTTGAACAGACCCGTGTCATTGGATTTATTTTAAGATAAATGTAACACATATAAAATTACTAATATATTCATCTCAAAATAAATTTAATCATCTAAATCGCATATTAATTAAAATATGATTATAATATTTTGAGCTAAACACCATTCATAACTATAAGATCATATATATAGATTTATTTGTATCACATGTAGCTACAACACCACTTATCCTTAAGTTTAAAGACTGAATTCATGCAAATCTTACAATTTTAAATTACATAGCTCATTTTTGCAATTTAGTGCCACTGTGCAAAACTTTTAAATTACATAAATGATTAGATCGGGTGAACCTTCACAATCAAACAAAAGTCAAACTAAAACCACAAAGTCTTCCTGCAAATTTTCAACTTTTTGACTATTTTGTATTATCTTTTCCTGCCCTCCTGTCCTCTTTGGACTACTAAGATTCTTTACAAAATAATGCTGATTGAAAGAAACAAGAAGTCTAATGTAAAGAAATATACAGAATCTAATCAGCATCTTATCTAAATCATAGTTTAGTTTTAGATTTTTGGGTGATTAATATCTTATTATTAGTGGGACATTTAGATACTAATCATATAATTATAATATCTATCAATCAAACAATAGATATATGTATTCACATATCTAATTTCTATACTTTCATATTTACATGCATATACTCAATTCTTTGACATCACATAAGAAGATGTTGATATTGTTAATTTTTTAAAAATGACATACACATTTTTTTGCATAGATTTATGGCACTAGCTAAGGTGTTGTAAGCATTAAATTTTTGGTGTTAAATGTACGTAAATTTTACATTATTTATATATTTAGCACCTAATTTGTCATATTTACATGCATTACACAAATATTACATGTAGATATTAAAATTGTATGTAAATAAATAGAAATTATGTGGAAAGTATGTAGATTTTCTCTTTGTTTTTAGGTACCATTTTAATTCGTTGCCCATATTTAAAGTCGTATAAGATGAATGAGATTGATTTGGCTGCATCCACAATATATTTATTAAAATGAGCTGTAAAATAATATAGCTTTATTTTATAAAATTAAAATTTAAAAATATAAAGATGCTTATTGAATTATCTGTTGATAAGCTAGGTGCGTGACTATTATAAATTTTTATTTTTATTTTTAAAGTCAGACCGTTGCCGAAAGTTGTCAACCGCACCTGTGTGAAAACGTTGTTTTCAGCTTTTTGAAAATATATAGGCTGTCAGAACGCAGTTTACCCAAACAAGAAATATGTGTTTTCAAAACTCCAACGAACTCAATAAGCTGCCCCAAACCGATCCTAAATTTCTTAAGGATGATATTTATGTGTTTGGTTTTGATGCAAGGAATTTATGTGAACAAAACGTTACAAGTGAATTTTATTTTTGACATCCAAATGTTATTTCTAAAATGAACTAAACAACTATATTTCACTTGCTTTCAGGAACAAAGTCCTAATAGTAGATGCCGGCCTGCTTACAAGACTTCCACAACTTCAATCAAAAGCAAACCTTTCAACCAAGAAATCACTCGCTCCCCTGCTCCTCTCCATATCCTCCCTTGCCAAAACCCAAATCCCCATCAACTCCCTCCCCATCCTCTCCTTCCTCCTGCACATCCTCCGCTCTCCCCTACGCCCCACCGACACCCCAATCCTCGTCTCCGCCACCACCGCTCTCCACAACCTCTCCACTCAACTCGACAACTCCAAATCCATCATCTCCGCCGGCGCCGTACACCTCCTCTTCAACCTCTGCTTCTTCCACCCAAAAGCCGCAGAAGCCGCCCTCGCGACTCTGGCAAACCTGACGCTCACCGAAGAAGGCAAGAGAGGCATTGAAGAAGAGTCGTTGGTCCCCGAAGCGCTCGTGCATGTCATGGCAAGAGATGAGGAGCCGAGGTGTCAGGAGCTGGCGGCTTATCTGCTGATGGTTGTTGTGGGAAGGAGTGAGGAGAAGAGGAGGAGGATGGTTGAGATGGGGTTTGTTGAGACTTTAATGGAGGTGGGGTTGGTAGGGAGGAGTAAGGTTGTGAGGGAAAAAGCGATTTGCATGCTTCGTTGGTTTCAGGATGGGAGGAGTAAGGGGGGGATGGGAGATGTGAAAAGGTGTAGAAGGGAGATTAGGTGTTTGGTGAATGAGAGTCTTGATAGGAATATGGAGAGTATTTTGAGGAGAGGTGGGGGGCAGATGAAGAACTGATGCTTGTTTGTAATTAATGGCAAAGAAAACTATTTTGAAATTCTTTTGTTAAAGCCTGTAACTCATGAGTTGAATATTATCACGAGATCTGAGCTATAAATCCTAATAAATTAATTAAAATACTATGCCTTGTTCATCAATCTTCTCCAAAGATCTTCAAAGTCAATCATTTATTCATCTTTTCTATCAAACAAGGACTCTAAATGGCTAACTCTGCACTGTTAACTATACTTCATTCCAAAGGACAGTATGTGACCTATGCTAAAGGGAATATGAAATTCTTATTTTTCTTCATTCTTTTCAATCATTTTACTCAATTGGGATAAAATTTTCTTGATTGAGTCTTAAGAAGGCATCCATTTAAAAGAATTTTTTTTTTAATTCTCTTAAAAGGGGGATTCCTTAGTTTAATAAAGAGGGTTGCTTATGTCATAGTTTATAAATTTGATTTGAAGTCCAGAGTATTCTTCTCTTCTATAAATAAGGTTGTTGTTAGGAAAGGCAAAACAGTCTATGTTTTGAAGTGCTTCATTTCCATGGGTGTATGCAATCTTCAAATAATAAGTGCAGCTTACTTTATAAATAAGTGTTATTTTGACCCTCAATTAATGAACTAAGGTAAAAGGGCAATTTTGTAATGTGGCACCGCTCACTTACCACATCTCACCTACCGCTCACCTACCGCCCACCTACCTCCTACCTACCTCCCACCTACCACTCTCTCTCTTCTATAAATAGAGAGGGTGTAAGGCTTAGGAGAGCAAGGGAAAAGATATCTTAAGCTACCACAAAGGAGGAGAGAATAGTTATAGAGTTAGAGAGGAGGAGAGCATCTTGAGGCCTTGTATCAATGTGTCGCTTGAGAGGGAGATCATAAAAAGGAAGATGAGGGCTCATCTCTATGTATAAGCTATGTATTCTCTATTTCTTTTGCCTTAGTGAACTATTTGATTGATTCCCTCCCGTGGACTTAGATCCAGTTGGATCGAACCACGTAAATGATCTGTGTTTGCTTGTGTTCTTTGCGTTTCATTTTTATGTCAGGAAGTACATATTTTCACAACAAATTGCCTCGTTTTAAATTTTGTTTTAAATTCCTTAAAATCATTGTTTACTTTTGAGAGCAAGATAGTGTATTTGGACATTTTGTTTAATGCCATTTAATTTTATAATTTTTACGGATACTTGATTAGCATGCTTCTTGAAACTATTATTTTATCTTGAAATTCTCTACCACTTAAACTATTTAACTTTGGCTAAATCACACATTTTCTTGAAATGTTAAAATGATGCACGAATCATCATGGTCTTGTCTAGCACTTCATTGCTAGCAAGATACAAACAATTTAGTTTTATATTTAGTTTATTTAAATCTCAATGAAGTTTATTTGTATTTAGATTTATCGTGCAAGAGTTCTTATTAAAAGAGTAAAATAGAATTATTCTTAGGCTAAGGTTATATGCATATGAAATGTAATGCTTTTGAAGCTATAAAAAACTTTGTCAAAAAGACCTAAATTGCCTAGAAGTTCTTATAGCTATGAATGCATTTTTTTCATTGCATATATCAGAATAATTAGCATTTTATATCGTCAATACCAGAATAATTAGCACTTTGTATTACATTCAAATACAAATGAAATATGAATTAAGTTGGAATTAATTACTTTTTATTATGTAAAAAAAAACGTAGAAAAGTCTTTGGGCTAGGGTTATATGTATATGAAATGTAGTCCTTTCGGAGATATAAAGAACTTTGTCGAAAAGGTCTAAGCTGTCTAAGGAGAGCTAGAGACGTAAGTGGTCTTTGTACCCCCTCATTACCTGGAAGTTCTTATAGCTACGAATGTAATTTTTTCATTGCATATACCAGAACAATTAGAACTTATAAGGCACATTTTCCGACTTCATTGCTAAATTTTAGCTCTTGCATTTAAATAAAATCGAGTGCATGATTAAAACTAATTTTAAAGTATAAGTACGAACATGTCACGCTTCTTAATATATTTTGATGGTAACTTGCGAGTCACGGAAGACATCACTCCCACCTATGTTGAGGATGTGATGAACTCAGACAGAATCAGGTGTAATACTCATTTTTAAATTAATCTCATAATATTGTCTTAACTATATATGTTTAGTAAATTTAATTATTCTGTAGGTATTTGTATTTTTTTATAGCTACTACTATTTTTTTTTATAATATATAATAATAATCTAAAATGAACAATTATATAGTTGGATTACTTTATTCGTAGTAAGAACATCGCAGAAATGTTTGGAGGGGATCTAGAGCAATTACTAGTGCCATGAAACAAGGTTACTGCAATGATTATACAATATTTGATCGACCTAGTTGACATGATTTTGAGCAGAGCAATCTCATGATACAGATGTCAGATCTCAAGGCTCCTGTAGTTCAACCTCTGATGTTCCACATCGGTTGTCTTGTTCTGCTGCAAGGCGATCAACAATAAAAGCTCCGAGGAGATCTTCAATTAGCAAAACACATCGATCTTAGTTGCAAGAAGCACAAGAACAATAATATCCCAAAGATATATGCTTGTCATAGCCAATCAGTATTTGCGGGACCCTCCGTTTATATAGGGTCATCCAACTATTCAAGACCCTCCAAATATGCAGTACCCTAAACATATGAGGTTCCATCATTTGACCTACAGTGGACAACAACTACTGGTGGAGACTTGGATTTAAATTTTCAGAACATTCTAATGTCTGCACCTATTTCTGATGTAGACATGGAATTCAAGACACCACAATTTTTTTCTCTACTAAATCCCAACGAAGAAATATGTTGGAAGTCATAAGATGCTACAAATGATACAACTGAAAACGATATTATTGAAGAAGAATCTCAAGAACATCAGTTGCATCATCGACCAATACGACCACCTTCTCGATCAACACTGGGTCCATGCGCTATTCCACCCCGACGGAGAAGATAATATTTTTTTTGTAAATATTATGTTAGTTGATTTAATCTTTTTAATTAATTTAATTTAATTTATTTTGCAAATGTTTCAATATGAAAAAAAATTTTCAATTTTCAATTTTTTTCTCAGTTTTTTTAATTTGTTCGATTTTATTTTTTAATTAATAAAAAAAAATACAATTTATTAATTAATGTAGAAATTAATTTTATCGTTTTTTAAAATGCATAGAATAAATAATAATAATAATATTTATAATAATATTATTATTTGTGGTAAAGTGTGCATCCTCACTGCGTACGTAGTGAACGTACGTGCTCGCATACGGGGTGAATCTGCTCCCTCTCCATTTGCTAATTCGCTTTATTAAGGTGATCCTTTATATAACTTTTTAGCTTCTTATAACTATTAAATACGATCGAACAAATTAAATAAACTGAGAAAATTGATTGGCATATTATCATTTATTTATAACTATTCATGTCAAAGTAAAGAGTAATTATATACAACAGCTAAATTTGTGCGGTCAGCAGTCATTCATGTGTCAACCATTGAATTCTTGGCACATCTAGCTCAAATATTTGGGTTGCCCGATCAAGTACTGAAAAAGAATGAAATGTCGAAGGCTAACCTCCCTCATTCCTTGCTTGGATATGATGAGAGAGCTAATTGCAAAGGAAAATTTGAAATATCATCAAGTGGCTCTAACAAGAAGATTATCTTCATTACAAGTTTCCAATGCTAAATTTAAATTCTCCCATGGGTGTTTGATTTCTTACCAAATGGAGCCCTACGATTAATTCCCATCTTGCTCATGAACAATAATGCACACCAACCTACCATCTAACTAATGTTAGTGTGCCGCATGGACTTAGGAAGCCTCCAATCCTTAGCCTTTTCATTGCTTATTGCAATAGTTGGTCAAGTTTCTCTCATACATTACCACAATTCTAAGACCTCATTCCACTTGCCCAACTTATAAGTACTTAAATTGAAACTCTACCAAATTATTTATCTAGAAAGAGGAGAGAGAGAGAGAGAGAGAGAGTATTTGAAGTGGTGCAAAAAAATTTCTCCAACTAATGCAACTGTTGCATGAAAATCCCCTCCAAAAAATGTCATAGTGGCGTAGATTATCCCCTTCATAAAACATCACAAGGGTGCAAGAAATTCCCTTAAGAAAATGTCACAATATAAATGAAAAATCCTCTCCATAATGCTCAGTAGGGAGACTCTAAATTTTCTCTAAGAAAAATTCTCTTCGGAATGCGTGGTTAGGTAGACTTCAATTTTTCTCCTCGAGGAATCCCCTTTGCAATGCACAGCTAGGATGCTCCAAATTTTTTTGTCTGAAGAATTCCCCTATAATGCACGATTTGGAAACTTTAATCCTCCTGCACGAAGAATATTCTTTGGAATGCATAACTGAGAAACAATAGCCGCTATCATCTGATCTATCCCACGCGGCTGTGTGACCCACTAAGGATCACACAAGTCAGCGCGACTTGTTGGGCTACCTGCTTGCTTCGGCCCACTTGGTCGCAATCTCGACACGATTCACGACCCAACGCTCTGCAGCTAACCTTCCGGCCAACCACACTTCTGGGTCTGCTCCAATTGGTGCATGGTCCTGCTTGCAGCCGCCGCCTATCTCTGTTGCACCTGCGACACTATTTTCTCTATTCTTTTTAAGACTCGAAGTCACTTGCTTGTCTATTTATATGTCATCATATAATTTCTTTTGAAGAAATCGCCCTCCCAAATCATATCAATGATTCAAAGATGAGAGAAATGAAAAGAATGATATAGAACAACAAATAGACAACAAATAAAAAGAAACAAACATAATGCTTGTATATAGGTAATCCTCAAGTTATGAGTCGATAGTATATGACAAAACAAGATTGGAGCGAACATCCACGAAGAAAATCCATTCATAAGTCACTCGTAACTAGAAAACCAAAAAGAACATTTTTGTTTTAGGGTCAAGAGTCTTCCAGAGGAACATATCCCTCTTGTTAATTATAGCTTGGGAGATACCCAATAATTCTCTCAATAAAAGGAGTTTCTCTTAAAATTATCATGAACCCGAGAATAGGTCATCCAATGATGGTTATTTTGTATCGGAACACACTTCAAATTTCTCGCTAAATCACTTGGCATGGAGTCAGTCTCTCACATCCCAAATGGGTAACAATTCGTTAGCATCAAAACTAATGAAATAACCAAAATAATTTTGATGGGGATGTCCCTATACGTCAAGGCTCACCGTGTCATAAGGGCAGATGGTGAATCATTGTATCTCAAATGGCTGTCAGTTCATCAGTAATTCGGTCTTCAAAATGATATTAAAGAAGTCAAAGGAGCGTCAGGTTTCAAAAGGCCTTAATTATAGGAATGGTAGAATGATTTTTAAACTCAAAGTAAGTTTTTCTTAAAAGAAAAAATTGAAAGTTTACGTTAGTTATTTGTTTATACTGCACATCTTAAGAAAAAAAAACTTATATGTATAGGGGAAAATTTCAATGATGTTGCAATAGAAAGTATTGAATGTAATGATTTGAAAGCTTTCAAAGGAGTTGGTGGACATACAACTTTTGGGGAAACACATTTTGTGGAGACCTTCAATGAATACATGTCATTTTAATATTTTTAAATGTTATTTTCAGATATCTCAACGAAGTTTGAATTTATGAAAGACGTGTTAAACTTTGAATTTTTTTTATTTTACTTACATTATATATTTTCTCCAACATTTTCTTTTAATATGACTAATGACTCATTGGTGCTACACTTATAATTTTGCACCTTTCATTTGAAATTTAAAATATTTGTTATTTATATTTATTTAGCATCACTTCAACCCTTGTTTAAACAAGTTGAACTAATGAAGCTTGAACATTTCATTTACGGTTTCATGTCCGATTCTACTTTCAAAACATTGCGGCATGCGATGTTGATTCAACCCCTTCGACAGATAGGTTGGATCTAACGAGATAGAAATTAATTGAAAATACCCGTATGTCGATCTTTGTGTATACACATACATAAGTACATAGTACACAAATCTTATGTATTTATATATCTCACAGTTAAACTTTTATCTTTACGCACAAAAGATTTAAAGGTATGTTTGTGACAGCTGAAACTTATTGAATAATCCGCTGATAAGTTGATTCAAAATAATATGTTGATATGCTAGATGCGGTGACTAGTACAATTTTTTTTTTTTAGAAAAGTCAGATCGCTACCAGAAAGCTGTCATCACACCTAAATAGGTGCTGTCAACGTTTTGAAAACGCATAATCTATCAAAACGCAATTTACCCAAACAGGTAAGACGCATTTTCAAAACGCCACTGCACCAAATAAGCTGCCACAAACGGACCCTAAATCTTTAAAATTGCATAAAAAATAATATTATTATTTAAAAAAAAAATAAAAAATAAATTTTCGAACATAGGCTTAAACTAAAATAATATATATAAATATGGAAATTTCGACGTGAGATATGTAAATTATTTTAATTAATTTTCCAATTTCGTCTAAATAACACCAATACACCTCCCCTAAATCTAACCATTTCAATTCGATTCATTAAATACGGAACCTTTCTTTTTTTTTTTTTCGTCGGTGCCTTTCCGTATTTTTTTTTTGCAGAAAAATCGGGTGGAAATAGCAATACGTACGATTCGATTACCATGTTCGGACCCGAGACCTTATAAACTAAACGATCAATATTCCATACTGCTTTTAGACCTTATTAATCGGGTTTTTTCTGCGTCTCAGCCTCAAGCCGTTCTTCTTCGTTAGGGTTTCCAATCCCCATCAATGGCGGCCGTGGACACTTCCTTCAAGAAACGCAAGGTCGACGAGAATGGCGCAGCCATACAACCTCTGTCGACTAATCTGACTAGCGAGGATGCCCGAAAGATTATCGGGTCCTTCAGCCAGGAGCAGCTCGTGGACATCGTCGCGGAGGTCATGTTCCGTGACGAAGGCATCCTCGACGCCGTGCGTCAGATCGCAGACCGCGATCTTGTCCAACGCAAGCTCTTCATCCGCGGCCTTGGATGGGAGACGACCTCCGAAAAGATTCGCTCCGTCTTCTCCAGTTATGGTGAAGTGGCGGAAACCGTGGTCGTCGTCGATAAAGTTACGGGAAAGA